CCTTTGCCATCTCACAGGCCTGCTTACCTGCATGGGGTTGATGCCCATATATGACGTCATTCGAGATAACTTACTTAATGCACAACCAAATGTCCAGTAGACTTATGCCTGTCCATTGGATCCAATGGACAAATCAAATGTCCACTGGACATTTCAATATGTCCATTGGACATCTTGCAGAGGTATTGGACATTAATCCGGCACGGCACGGAGAAGCGAGAGAGACTCTGCAGAACTTGTGTATATTCTTTGTGGAGCCGACAATCCAAAAACGTGGATAATTATGCGTAATTTCAGGTTTGATACTGGTTTTATAACCGGTTTTGATCCGAACCGCAAACTACTTATTAAATCTTTTCTGGGGAATAGGCAGTTGGTTAGCAACCAACGTTGTGATTATTAATGTTCATGACCGTTGGTCAAACAAAAAATTGGCAATAATTTTCGATAATTTAATTAACGTATTCAACCTAAAACGTGCTGGAGATTTTAGGACATTGGAACAAACAGAGCAAAACAGAGGATATGGCTATTGTGAGGTTTATGAGGGAAGTCAAAATCCCATTATTAATATATAAATGTTCATGAGCGCTGCTGCGCACGCTCTGAAACAAAAAATATTTCTACTACAATAAATAAACGAAGAAAAATTCTACTACAATAAATAAATCCTCCAAACGTTTACGAATATAACATACAAACATACATGCATATGAGCAAAATAAATCGCTTACAACAAATGCAAAAATGATATATTTTAGCAAACAAGATTATAACCGTGCTAGGAGTTAATTTGCAATTATATTCAAACAACATGGTGCACTTCACAGGTGCACTTACTATATATTGCATAATTACGTAGAATTGAACGAAATATTTCTGCATAAATTACCGCCCTAGTTCTAGGAAGTGGACAAAGATTTCCAAGTATCGCACGGAATTTAGTTTTATTTGCTACTATGGCTTCAAGACACATTATGAAAACCGAATAGGAATATGGAATTTGTGTCTTTTGATAAAAGGTGAGTTGAAAACGGCAAATAAACAAAGCCAAGTTACAACATTTAGCGATCTTCGCTCTTGTTATGTTGAAATATGTTTACGCCAGGATTCCTTGCAAAAATGTATACATGCATGTGTAGTTCTGAGTATCTAAGAATTTCGGGCAAGCTTTAATATAGTTAACTTTTTTATCATTTGTTCTTCTTCTCAGTAGTTTATTCGGTGACAAAACGCGTTATAATTTCATTCATTGGCATGGTAAAATAACAGTATGAAAATTTAGTGAACACAATGTATACCACAGTAAATGGCATGAGGTTCAGCATTTAATGACATATATATCTCATAGGACGAGCGTCTGAACGGTCATGCGGCAGTGCATGTAGCTCAATTATACACACATATCATTGGAGCAACAATATACACATATCGGTGGAGCAACAATGTCACCGAGAGTCTCCAATCTCTTAAAACTTTTGTCTAATCAACTGCGCTACATAGCCATAGGCCAAATATAGCAACGCTTCGCGTTGTCGTTTATGAAGTACTGTTTAATAAACGAGCAGGAGTGTTTTATATATTAGGTGTAAAGCCACGAGCGCGCAGCGCGAGTGGCTTTAGACCTAATAAAACACGACCTGGGAGTTTATTGAACGGCTTCAAACACGACTACAAATACAAATTTATACTTATACTGTCTTATTAGTATTTATATACTTATATTTATACTTATACTGCCTTGTACTGTCTTTATATAAAGAATACTAATGAAAACACGACTACAATAGATACTGCCTTAGGGGCGAACCATTAGAAATGCCGGGAGGGGGGG